CGCGCGGGGAAGGCCGCGGGCGCCTCGGGCCTGCCCCGGGACTCGGGCATCTATGACTCGTCGGTGCCCTCCTCGGAGCTGTCTCTGCCCCTGATGGAGGGACTCTCGGCGGACCAAACGGAAACGTCCTCGCTGACGGAGAGCGTGTCGTCGTCCTCAGGCCTGGGTAAGACGCTGGGGGCCCGGAGAGCCCGTGGGTGGTTCCCATGAGGCCACAGCGTTGGTTCCTAATCCGAAATCTGAGAGTGTTTTCCTAGTTTGGGTGTAAAGTTATTTGGCAGTGAAACCCGATGGGAAGTAGCACAGCTGCATTGATAGCTTCAGGTAATGGGCACGTTCACGTGTGGGAGCTGATGCTAAGTTATGGTGAGCTGCCCAGCCCCGTGTTAGGTAGTATACAGTATGTGCATTCTGTCACCCTCCTAAACTCCGAAAGCATCTGAATACCAAAAAGCAGTGGCCCCAGCAGTGTTAGGTGAAGACCTGTAGGCCTGGATCTTTGTTGGGACTTGCAGTGTTCACTATCCCTGGTCCTCCCATGTCTTTAAAGCCGTATCTGTTGAACCTGGGGTTCACGGATGCGGTATTCTCTCCGCGCAGGCTCCAGGTAGAGCTCTGTAGGAGGCCCCACTTCCCCAGGGAACCCCTGCTGGCTGCCGTGTCAGGCTGCTCCTTGCTGTGACTGACTAGTTGGAGTCATGCATGCAAACCCTTGACCCTCAGCCAAGGGAACTAGGACCTCTTAGTAGCATGAGCGTGACCCATCTTGAGCTGGTTGGGATGCCTGCCTCACTTGCCTAAACCCAGATTCTACCATGTTCTGTCCTGAGCACCCAGCGAGATGCAATGACATGTGGCTCTGTTCTCTCTTCTTTCTTTAGGTGAGGAGGACCCTCCTGCCCTTCCGTCCAAGCTCCTCACTTCTGGGGTGTATAAAGCAGAACCTGGTTGCTGCAACTACACTGGTGAACTCCACACGGTTGCCCCTTTGTAACGAAATGGAAGAGTCTAAGCATTGCCACTTTAGCTGCCGCCTCTCTCTGGTTCCCCAGCTCATCTCTGGTTGTGTAGCCCACTTGGGCTGTGGTCTCCTACAAGGATGTTTGGAGTGAAATTCGTGCCAGTACTTGTTCTCCTTGCTCCTATCCTCTAACAGATATCTTGGCAAAGTCTCCAGTTTTCTAAAACCATATGGAGCTTGGAAAGGGCATGTCCATAAGATCTGACAACAGCTTGCCATGGTAGGTCAGACCTTGGGTTAGAGCCAATACTGGGAGATAGGGAGGAAACATAAAGAGAAACAGGAAAATACCTGCACTGATCGTTCAGACTTAATTTATCTCTGCAAACTTTGCCTATTCACTCTTGGCTGTTTTGATTTGAAATGCTTTGTAGAAAAAGCACTTTTAATGTTTTTATAACCGCACAGAAATCAATTGTCAGTCTATCTGGAATCCATGTCATTACAGATGATATTCCTGTTCATTTTTGGTGTGGAACTTATGTTGCCATGGGTGTTAAAAAAGGTCAAGAAAGTAACAACATGTAATCATCTCTCATAAAGTGAGTCTTTATGTATTAGTGGGTGGCATGGCTAACTGAGGTGGAAGTTGCAGGGCCAGGACGACCATCTAAACCATTCTTTCTGAGATGGTCTGGTCAGCATGAAAAGCCACCAGAGCTCAGTACCGAAGAGCACCTCTTGGTCTAAGTAGGCATCATGCAAACGCCAGATCTGCCTCCCAAGATTTCCTGGGCTACATTTACTCGTTGTATCTCAGATGTTGGTGTCTAGAGTTTTATTTTTAAGAGACTGATACACAACTGGGCTGTAATACTGAAAGTTGCAGTTCATGCGTTCGGTTGGCCTCTGGTCTAAAGCTGTGTCCAGAGTATTCAGGGTCAGAATCCACTGAAATATGGCAGCGTGTGGAGGTGGTGGCCAGTTAATCTGCTGAATTGGTTTTGACTAATGACAAACCTCTTTTTAAGAAGGTGAAAAGGAGGGGGCTGTCCCAAAGATGAATGTGCTCTTCGAATATTGTCTAAGGAAGACATGAGACCTGAAATCATTAAATTCTTGAATCTTAAAGTATTCCTCCCACAACCCAGCCTGTGACTGATGTTTCACTTTGTGTTTATGTTGTAGTTACCCGGTAAAAGATTTGTCTCTTGTGCTCCATCCTACCAAAAACAGCTATTTAGAGCTTAGGAGGAAAGAATTTTCTTTAAAAAGCAAAAGCAAATGTTCTGTTTTTATGAATGACTTCTCTACAGAATTTCTGTTTCCAAAGGGAAAACAGTTGTTCCCTTTTCCTCCCCTTGCCCTTCTGGGCATGTGAGCTTCCTTTTCCACTTTTTCATAGGTGCTGTTGAGTTTGGCACCGCTTTCTCAGCAATCACACCGGGGACCATGGTTTTGACTCCAGCAAATAGAACTGATATTAAAGAGGACGCCGAGGAACATCCTGAGGAGGGGTGGGAGATGGAATGGCGCAGGACTTCTCTTTCCAAGCACATGCTTGGCAGGTGGGGAAGGGAAGGTTTACAACCCTCCTGGAAAGAAGAGGTTTGTGTGTATTTTTGATGCAGATGCCACACTCCCTGCTCTGTAAAGGCAGCTGGCAGCTTCTTGGGGGAAGAACGTGATCGGCTGTTCTCTGGCATCGAGTTTCCTGCAGCTGCCCTGAGGGAGAGACAAGTGAGCAACAGAACTGCCTCCCCCATAAAACCAGGCATCTTGTTGGAGAAGAGACGTTCCATGTTGTCACCGTGGAATACAGGACAAGCACAGAGCTCCTACCCTCATGTGACTCTCCTTCCATTCTACCCCAGCATGCATTCTGTAAAGGAGATTGGTCACTTCAAACTTGCTAGCATACGAAAATTCACTTTGGAACATTATGACAGATATTTCTTGTTGAGACCAAATGATGCATGCCCCAAAGGAGCCAGTAAGAGCCACTTTTAGGATAGATATTCAGCTTTGCATGTGAAGTGAGGCATCTCTGAGAAAGTGGCCCAGTGACAGCATGAGGACTGGGGTGGAGGAGCATCAGCTGGGCGTCATGAGTGTGGGAAAGCTTGCTAAATGAGCTTACTCATGAAAATGGAAGGGAAAAAAGATGCTAGTCCAAAAATCAGGTAATGTTTTAGTTTGGATTTAGGATTTGGGCACTTATTTTGAAACATTAATGTTTGTGATGTTCAACAAAAGCGAACTGTTGTATGGAGTAATGAAAAAATGGGAATGCCTAACTCAGAATAAGTTGAGAAGTCCAGCTTCCTGGTTTTGCCTTATTAGTTTCACTTTTTTCCCCCCACCCTCCCCATCTAATGCTGGGAATAGGAATAATTGCCATGTAGATTAAGGCAGAACATCTGTTTTAAGCAGAGCTCCATTTTTTGACTCACACTGTTCTGAGCAGTGGAAATGATAAGCCAGAATTCAAATAAAGGTTCTGTAAGTCACAGGCTTTTAGACAATGGGGAAACAAGAAGTAGAATATAGGGGTGATTCCAATGAGTTCTTGACCCTGAGAGTCAAAGGCTTATGTAGCTAAATTAGATGGTGTCCTCTGGACAGGTGAACAGATACATACGTCCAAGGTTCTAGGTAACCAAGAAGCTTGCAGGTAGTTGAAGGTAGGGAGCTGGTGGTTTATCTTAAATCACCAGTGCCCTACAGAAAGGACTTACCGTCCAACACAGCTTTGCCGGGAGAGTGATTAGGGAGGTGAAAGCCCAGGTCAAGGCATGCTGTTCTCTCAGGTCAACTACAAGCAACAGGAACCACCTGGATGGGCCTAGCCCAGCCACACAGTGAGCAGAAGGTATTCCAGAGGGCCAAGTCCTGGGCCTTTGAGCCACACTAATCTCTAGAAAGAATCAGAAGTCATTCAGGTCCAGGCCTAGGAGGGTGATCCAACCAGTTAATAGTATTTTGAGACAAAAATGAGATGGGTCCATAAAGTCATGAGACAGAGTATTTGGTTGACACATTAGCAATAACCGAAGATAGTCCCAGATCAGAAGTTCAAAAATATGTCTTTAGCAACAATGACATCATTGGAATCAATGCATAGTAATTTAAGTTCATGTATGTTAAAGTTTACTCTTACTACTTCATAGCTACAAGTGTCTTTTTTTTTTTTTTTTTAAATAACCCCTAGTCTCAGGCTCCCTGACTTAAGTGTAAATAAACAGGAAAACTGTCTAAAAATGTGGGTTTATGTGATTTTTTTCACAGCCTCCCCCTCCCCAGGGTTGAGCATCTTTAAAACACAAAACAAGGAATTAAAAAAAGCTGTTTTCTTGGAGAAGAAATAACATACCCTTCTCCTCCAAAGAGAGAAAACCCTGTAGTCTCCAGCTGCCTGAACACTAAGACGGCTCTTAGAGAGAGGAATTGCTCTTCATGTCTTTATTGGAGAGAAGTGGACAATGCCAATGTGAAAGTTACTAGACTTTTTGATTTTATGTGGTTGGTGAAAACTACTTATTTAATAGATGGTATGTCTTCAGGGGTTGCCAGTGTAGCAGGCCTGATGTAATGATAAATAAGGTGTGATTATAAATGACAGTGACATGTCCTCTCTGTGTTGGGGATGTCATAGGGCATGTTGGGGACCGTGGCAAACAGATGCTTCTCTCCCACCTACAGGGGGCAGCTACTCCAGCCAGTTGTGGCCAAGCAGTGTTTCTTGATCTTCCCATCTTTCAAGAGAAGCTGAGAAACTGGATTTTTATATGAACAATTCTGATTTGTTTAGTTAAATTTTAAAACATTTTAAAATGCATTCAGACCCTACAAAATACCTGATTGTTCTTGGCCCACTAGCTTCCAGTTTGGCACCCACCTCTGCTTTATAAGAGTTGAAATGAAAGGCATGCGTGGTAATTACAGATGTCTAGTACCACCAGAAAATGCTGTTGCTAAATGCAGACAGTAGCTGGATTGATGCTTTCCCTCATTGCTGTCCCAAAGAAATCTGATATGATTGCGAATGTATTTGAAATGTTTTGATTGCTTTTTTACATTTCATGGTAAGCCAGTTGTTAATTCCAAAATCAGATTTCTGTTCTCCCCATTTAAAAATATGACATTTGGGACAATTTCACTTAAACTCTACAACCTGAAGGACCTTATTTATAATTTTAGCCCTTGGCTTAATCAGTTCTTTAGATGATATGCAACTCTGAGCTTAGTCCAAAACTTAATAAGGAAAAGCAGGCGTTGTGGGGAGTAGGGCAAGTAATGAGTGTGCACTAGAGCCAGGTATTTGCATTGTCTTCTGCTTTAAATGACCTGTGAGTCTACTCTGTTTTGGAGGTGTGAAATCATACACAGAGAAAAGCTTTTCCTGATACTGAGATACCAGTTAGGAGTCCTCATTGGGGCATTGGGTCATCCTTGCTATATCACCACCTTTCCAGGCTCAGGGTGAAAATAAACACAAGGAAGTCTGACTGTAAGCCAATAGCTTTGATTTCAGTTTCAGAGTTTTGGGGGTGGGAGAAAGTTTGGATTATCTAGCATGCTCTCCCTGATGACAGACAAGGCTGTGCCTGAATTATTTCAGACATATGGCTGTGGATTTTCAGCAAAGGAGATTCTGTAACCTATCCTGCTGATCAGATAGTTCTTTGTACGTCTTCCTTAAAGAAATTCAAACCGGCCTTTTGTTCAGTGTGCAGTGGAAAAAGAACAGCTGGTCACCTTCCCTGTGTTTAAAAACCACAGTGAAGTCATTCCCCTGGTGTTTTTATTTCAGTGATAGATAATCCCACCTACTTAAACCATTTTTCATAGCTCTTATTTTCCAAGGACTTAGTCATTTTCACTGCTATTGTGTTTCTCAGCTTCACGCTCAGTTCAGTTGCCCAGATAGAATGTGCCTTATTCACATTGGCACTTTGTGAAGGCCAAGCTCAGGATGGGGACTACAGGGAAATTCTTACGTGCCCAGCTTCTCTTACTACTTAAAAATATAATGGCAATTTTAAAAAATGATGTATCACCTATATTCATTTTGAGGATTGTTTGATTGCCACTTTTTCCCCCCTTGACGGCAGTACTCTGTTCCCCTCCCCCGCCTCCTCCCTTGTTGTCAAATACTTGGTGCTCCTTTGTAATGTGTTTAATGTAATTCCCAAACTTCTTCAGGATACTTCAAGACCAGCTCTTACCTTCTGAGTGGCAGCTATTTCTCCCTCCCAATTTTGGGTTCTATTTTTACATATCTCTAGAGATTACCCTTAATTCATGACTCACAATATTATTAAATGGCTCAGACTTCAGTTTGACCTCTGGTGAGAGAGACAGTAGTTGCTAAGGGCTAATTTGCAAAGAGGTCGAGTTGTCTTCTCTCCTGCTCTTTGGTTCCTCTCCACAATTCAGCTGGGACCACAGACTCCCCAAGAAGCTTTTTTGTGTTCTAAACGGCTGCAGCCATGGCTCTGAATTGACCAAGCACTGTGTTTCACGCAACCAGAAGTCTCACAAAAACAAACCATTATGACTGGTTTATGTCACATAAAACTTGAGAAGATTCAAAGAAGCAATCTTTTGTTCGTATGTGATGTAGACAAAGCTGACTGCTCTATTCATTAGACAAAAAAATTACCATTGGATTATACTAATGTGTAATCATCTGTTTGTTTTTTAAAGTTTTTTTTGTTTTGAAAAACAGTATGGACAGAGAAAAAACTTTTGTAAAAATCAAATGTGTTCGCTTAGAGAGTAGGTAACTTCTGTTTTCACTGTTAGGTTTTTTTTTTTCTTTTCTACTTCAGAAGCTCCCTGTTAGTACATTCCGGGGGGGAAAGCCTGTGGAACACGCTGATTATTGCCATTGTCTGTCTCATCTGTAAGTTTGTCCCTTGTGGGGTCTGGTGGAATAGTGAGCACTGACAGACGGAAGCAGTGTGCTGTATTTTTACATTGAAAACAATGCCTTTTTTGATTTGTACATAACTCTGAATAGGTGACAGTAGATCACAGCTGACATTTGCAAAATGTTTTTGTACCTTTAGAATTTCTGCATCAAATAAAGTGTTTTGTTTTAAGAGTATGGTGGTTCATTATTCTAGATTATCTTTCCTGTTTCCTGAATAGCTGGGGTTCCTAGCAGAGTTTTCTGAGCACTCTCCCTCTGAGAAGGGGAGAGAGTATCCAGGGTGAAGGCGGCCAGTATGTCTTGCATTTTAAGAGAAAAGGAACCTGCTGCCCTTGACTGCGTATCTCATCCTCCAGTGGTCAGGTGCCTATTGCCTCTGTGGTGTCTGGAGCAGGAACAGGAATATTTACATTAAGAAGAAACTTGAAAAAAAAAAAGAAACTTGAGCCCAGCCTGTGTGGCTCAGTGACTGAGTGTCATCCCATGCACCAGGAGGTCACTGGTTTGATTCCCAGTCAGCACATTCCCCCAGTGGTTGCAGGCTCGATCCCCAGTATGGGGAGCACAGGAGGCAACTGATCGATGTTTCTCTCTCATCAATGTTTCTGTCTCTCCCTTTCCCTTCCTCTCTCTATAATAAATAAATAACATAATTAAAAAAAAAACAAACTTGAGCCCTGGCCGGTATTCTCAGTGGTTAGAGCGTCGATCCACGTGTTGAAGGGTCTTGGGTTTGATTCCTAGTCCAGGTCACATACCTGGGTTGCAGGTTCCATCCCCAGCCCCACATGTGGGAGGCAACCAATTGGTGTGTCTCGCTCACATCGATGTTTTTCTCTCTCTTGAAAGGTTAACGTGATGGTTTGAGGGCAGGCTAAATAGCATCTCAGACGGTGAATAAAGAAAAATTTGTTTAAAGGGGATGGGATATCCAAAGGGAAGGGCTACATAGCACTGAGCCAAAGGGTATTGGGTCCATGGTGGCAGGAAAATATACTTGGGACAGTGAAACAAGGAAGAGCATAGGAGCAACAGGAGAACCCAGGCTGGGCTGCTTTGGCTCACTGAGAGGTCGGAGAGAGAGAGGGGCACCTTGGAGACAGGTTTAGGGGGTAAGCCCAGGACAAGTTGCAGGTGCCCATTGCTCCCCTGGTTGTAAGTCTTGTGTGGTCCTCTTGGAGGGATGGAGGTGGTGCTGGCGTGCTCCCCTGGTGGAGAGCCAGCACTGGGCCTTTGTCCTGAGTGTATTTATCTCTTTTCTTGCAGGTGGGAATCTGAGGGGAGGTCTCAGAGGAAGGTCTAAATAGAATATTCATCAGCATTCCCAGTGTGCTCTTTCAGGGTCCTGGTCTCCACTGATTGGTCGGTGCCAGGGCAGGGGATCATTAGTCAATGTATCTGGTCCTGAGGCAGCCATGGTGCCAGTTGTCTGGTTTCGCTGCTTATCTGGGCCTGGAGCTGATACACAACTGAGGGCTGGATGTTATCTTTAGGGAGGAATGCTCAGGGCGTCTAAACCACATGACCAGTGGTAGGGGAGGATAGGTTACCCTGGGGACAAGGTTCTTGTTTTCCCAGTTTCACCCTTTGCTAGTCATCCAGGGCTTCCTACCTTGGTGAGTTTCTGTACCTGAGTTTCTGTACCTGGGTTTCTGTACCTGGCCCATCTAACAGGCCCATCTAACATCTCTCTCCCTCCCTCCGTGCCTTCCACTCTTTCTAAAAATTAATGGAAAAAATATCCTCTGGTAAGGATTAACAAAAGAAAACAGAAACTTGAATCTCAGAACAAATGGACTTTCTTGGCAGAAATTTGAAAAGAGCTGTTATTTATAATTTGGGAGCCATAACACATTTCCTGTCATTAACAGAAAGAGAGGTGCCTGCTCATTCTGACAAAATGTCCCTCCTCCTTTGTTCTGTGGGCTGAGTTGACTTCTCCGTGCCCAGGATCAGGTCTCAGCTCTGCTGCTATCATTGTGACCCTGTGACTGCATCTCTGGGCCTTAGCTTCTCACCCATAGACTGGACCAGTCAAAGGCTCTACTTCACAGGTGGTGAATTGAACAGGGTGATGGACGTAAGGTGCTTCCTGGCACGTAGTTCAGTTGACCCTTGAACAACAAGGGTTTGAACTGTGCAAGTCCCCCTACCTGTGGGTTTTTGTTTTTTCAATAAATTTAGTCAGATAAGATAGTATATTTATATTTCAGTAAATATAAACCCAGATATCTCTGGGTTTTACATCTGCTGATGAAGCAACCACAGATGCAAGGGCCATTACCCAAAAAGAACATGGTGGAGGGTTAGGTCTTGGGAGCATCAGACTTTAAAAATCGAGTTTTCCTTGTCCCTTCCCCCCTCTCCCTCCCTCCCAACAGAAGGAGTGGTAAACAGCTCCAAGCGAAGCACTCTAGGTCCCCAAGAGGGGGGAATTCTGTCACTGTCTTGCCTTTTGTCGTAGCCTTCATTTTTTCTGTTTACTTATCCAGGATACTGCTTGTCGTGTGCTCACTGATTTCTTCTATCCCATGCTCTCTGTTGTTTCTCCTTATTTCTAAGAGTCAGTGTCTTTGAGCGCCAAGTGCCTTACACGTCGTCAGCTCAGTTATTTTCACAGATTCTCTTCAAGGTGGGTAATCTTACTGTTCCCATTTTATAGACAAGGAAACAGGCTCAGAGAGGCTGCCACTGACTCCTGATTTCACAGCTGGTTAGGGGCAGAGCCGGGATGTGAACTGTGGCAAACCCTGCCTCGGCTGCTATGTCCCTTGGTGAAGGTGTAGCCATCCAGGTAGAGGGCTTTCCCATAATGGTAGTGATGGCAGAGAGGAAGTGATGACAGACAACCTTTGAATGGTAACATGGCTAATTCCTGCTCCTCATGTCTTTTGGAAGGTACTATTAGCACCCTCATTTTTGAGATTCTAAGACTTGGCAGTCAGGCAGCTTTGCTGAGGGCACAGGTTTGTCAGTGTTGGGATTCAGATGTCTGAAGCACCCTTACTCACTGAATACACTGTCCCTCAGTGTCATTTATAAGGAAAAGAAAGAATCTTTAGTAGCAAGTTATGGGGACTTGGTTTCCTTTTCAGTCCTAATAACTGAGAGTAAATTTGGTTCAGAGGTTAAGCAAATGGATTTAAAAGGACTCGTCTGGAAAAGTCAGTGAATTTCTTTCCTTTTCTTACATTAAGATAAAAATTGCAGCTAGTACTTTCTACGGGGGGAGGGGAATCCTCTTTGGACAGCATGAGAGGCCCTACTTTTTACCATGGTGTTAGAAAGCAGTCTGTTTTTACAACTCCTTAGGGTTCTTACTGTAGCCAGCATCTGTGGGCCTCCCCAGTGGGTTTACTTTATTTTTTAGAAATGCAAACTTTAGAGGTAGCAAAGACCAGCTTCCTCGTGTAGGCTTTAATTAGACACAAAAAAAAAATCTCATTTTTCTTTAGTAAAAGACTATAGGCAGTAAGCTAAGCAGGTGGAAGAGGGAGGAGATACAAAGTATCTTTGCTGTCCTGAGTGTAGTGGGTCCTCAAGAAATGTTCTCCACCTCCACTCTCACCCTACACCCTGTGCTCACTGTCCACAGGAACAAACACAAAGTCCAAGAACAGGACAGGCAGAGGATACAATGAAGGGAAGATGGACAAAACATGAAAAAGGCCCTTTGCAATGTGACGAAATTCAAGTGGATTCTTTGGGATTAAGGGGAAGTAATCAAGATCAGTGGGCTTGGCTCCCTGGCCTCTTTCTGGAGGGGATATTGCACCATCCATCATATCTATACATGATACAAACTTTTTACAACATTTTTTTGAAAGTCTAAAGGGTGTACTGGGGACATAGTGATGGATAAAATGCACGCATGATCCCTGTCCTCCTGACTGCACCTTTTTCTATCTATGGGACTGTAGGTAAATTGCCTAATTGCTCTGAACCTCAGTTTTTTTAATCTTCAAGATAGGACTAATTCCCGCTGCATAGGATTTTTGTGAGGATTGAATGTGATGAGGTCTATAAAGCACCCAAGGCCATTGTCCACTTGGTAAATCATGGCTATTAATTATTCTGTGCAAGAGCAGGTCTTGGGCTTTTGGGAAACCATATGGAGGAAATAGGTGGGAGGGACTTCCCTGTTCATAGGCTCTTCAGCCCAGGGACCATGCCTGGCTGATTTGGTAGTGGTCCAGGAAGGAAGGGATGTGCGTTGAAGAGGGGGACGAGCTCCTAGCAAAATTAAATTAAGACAGTAACTCTGGGGTTATTAATAGTTGACTGTACATAGCCTGTGACAGTTGACCATAAACTCTTGAGATCTTCTGATGTTCCATTCACCAGGCTTCTCTTTTCCTGGTTGCCTTCTAGCCCCAATAGAGACACAGTTATCTGGACTTGCTGCTTCAAGGCCCCTGTGCCAGACAGTAGACCACACTCCACTCTGGATGTGAACCAAAGCATTTCTATAACCGACTATCAGTATGGAGTCAGGAGAATTTTCTGACTTTTAGAAGTTGGAAGTGGGCAGAGATCCAATAAATGGTCCTTCAGGATCAAACGCCTCTGCCTGGCTTTTCCATTCTTGATGGTCATGAACCTTCCAGGGAGTGGGCAGATGTCAGCTTCTAGATAAGCTGTAGATGTTTTCCACTGGGCTGGTCAAGGTCAGGTCACAGAGAACTTGTAGCAAAGAAAGATTGTAGAGCATGCCTGGTGGCAGAATGCAAACTGGTCAGGTCTTGCCTTTGGTTTGTGTACCTGAAGTTAGATGTACTTCAATGCTCTGCACACTTGTGTGTGATTGGCATTCTTATTGGTGAGATTATTTTACTATATTGTTTTTAGCACTATGATTAAAGAGGGGCTTTGGTCTCAGGCATTCTCAACTTAGATCCCAGTCTGTTGTTCTCTGTGTGCCGGTAGGCAGATGACTTGACCTGGTTAGGACTTAGTTTTTCCTTCTGGAGGATGAGTTCTAGTTCTATACCTAACAGGGCTGTCGTGAGGCTTGAATGTGAGGCCAGATGCAGTTCTGGGCACAGAGCCTAGCACATGGTGAGCCCCCTACCTGTGGGGATATGGTTACCTGGGGTAGGTTAATGGGTGTGCAGTTATAAAGTGGGATCCCACAAATGTCTCCTGGCCTGGGTAACTGATGGGCTAGATAAC